ATTTTTTATTATCTGTTTTGAATTGTTCATTTATTGCCTAGTAAGTTTCAGCTAGCTATCATTCAGTCAAACATCACAAATTCTCCGATTTTACTAGAAGTTATCTTATTTTCAGGGAAGCCGAAGCTGCCATCAGTGAAACTTCGGTGGATTTTATTTTATGGTGCAATCGTAGAGTTGAAGGCAATTTGTGGCGTTGTACGGCGACTGTCACCGTTCATACCTCAGGTGTTAACGATCCCGATGGTGCCAACCACAAGGTCTGTTCGAGGTCAAGCATGCTCGAAGCATAGCTTTTATTGCACATATCGCCTTTTCTTCTTTGCATACGGTTGATTAAACTTTCTCTTTATTGTAACTTCAGGTTGTCAACATCTTCCACAAAAACAATCGTTCAACAACTTTTTCAACTCCTAAATTCGATTCGAACAATATCGAAATTAGATTTGAACTGCAAGATATTTCAGGCTACAGGTCTAGGTTCTTTACATAGTTGCTGATTTCTTATTAGTTCTTCAGATTTTGATACTTTTCTAGAGACCCTGCGATATTTGAGATGGACTTTTCAAAACCATCGGAAATGGCAAATGTTTGTATCGCGTTTGAAAATACCGAGAAACGTCTTTATGTAAACAAAGAGGTTCAGGCTTGTTGTCGTGTAGGATTTTAATAAATTCAATTTCTACGTTTAGTATCTTTCAATACATTCACGAGTATTTGCAAATTTGCTCGCAAATCGGGACGTGGGACGTGTAGTTTCACCTTATTTCAGCACGGAAAACTCCGAGTGTGGCGATGACTTTGATGTGCTCAACGTTGGGTAAGTTTTGTAAATTCTTAGTGCTTTTCCCAAAATCACTTTTTAGAGCCGCTTTGCTTGATCGAACTCTAGAGGAAGAGGATGAGAGGGCTGACTTTGCTCACTTTTATTCTCACGGTATGTTGGCATATGTTGCAACAGAGCCTAGCTAGTGGAAGGAATTTTAGAGTTATCTATAAGAATATAGTTTCGATAGAACTCTACTCTCACGCGGTTGAGATTTGAATTTCCGAAGTCAATACTTTTCAACCAATTCATTTTTGATGAAGAAAAGGATAGTGAAGACGCTTTGTTAGAAAAAAGTGCCTTTTAAGACTTTTCAAGCAGGAAGGAGAATCT